TGTTATCCAGTACACTTTTATGAAGCTACTTTTCAAACATAAGATAATGAATAAAAGAATAAAGAAATGCTTATAATGATCATAAAATAGTTTCTTTTTTAATAATTAGCCAAGTTACAAGGATATCCAGTTAAAAACCTAACAGAAGATTTCTCTATTTTCATTAATTACTATTATCAGGATTTTTTACAAACCTTTTTTAGGACTTTTTTTATTCAGATTACTGAAAAAAGCTCAGAAAGTATAAACATGTTTCATAAATAATTTTACATTCATGACGAATTATATAAAACAATCAATCTTACTGAAAGAGCATATACCTGTGAGTTAACAACATTTTCTGAAGTACAGTTTTACTTTCTTTTGCTGACCTCTGTGGATGGATAACATTTGTTTCTAAAAGATCTCCTAAAGTAAAAATCAGAAACAAAATATTAAAATCAGAGAAATCAAAAATATTTTGGATAACTTGTAATATTAAAAAGTGTTGTTCACGACATGCTTTACCTGTCACAATAGCAAAATCAATAAACTTCTTCAAATACATCACAAAAAAATTAAGAAATACACAGCTGGTTCTACTAAATTGAAAATTAGTTTACAATGATTCATTCAAATAGTTTGAAAGAGCTTTTTCTACTTAATAAAACTAAGTGAACTTGTCGAAACTTACATTTGCTGTTATGTTAAACTTATATTGAAGTTTTTCTTCATTACCCATACAAGCCGTCTCCAGCCATTATAAGTTAAATAGTTTTTTATAAATATTTAAACAGATGCAACCACCTTTAATGTTTATATATACTGATTATATTGGTAGGTCAAATATGGAAACTATTATTGACATTTGTTACATGTTAGTTGACTGTTGATATTTCTACCAGGACTTTAGAACATCTGATGGCAATAATTATTTATTTATTGTGTTTAGATACATTTTCTCTTTTTTATCAAAGCAACTGCGGCTTATTTGTTTGAGTCTGACTTCTACCTGTTGATGAAATAAGGGCTAATTTACATCCATGTTTGAATCCTGGGTCAATCCCCAAAATTGCCCTTCCTCGAAGAGGAGGAATCAACAACAGTCGTTTCAAGTTGGTGCTAAAAACGTCAACAGAATCCTTCTCAGCCTTTTTTGTGAGTTCAGCTCTGCAATATAAAAAAACAGTCCATGCGTTTAGTTAGTTTTTTCATTCACAAGCTTACAACCCCAACAACAAAGCCCTCTACTGATGCATTTGGACATTATATCACAACATTACAAAATACGGACTGCTAAGAAATAACAGAAAGATTAAAACATTCTCAAGTTTGAAACAATTACTACACAAATATTGTTAGATAATTACTAGAAACTAAGGTTTTAGAAACCACTCTTGTGATTAACATATTAGTAAAAATAGTGCAATTAATACACAAATATTGTTAGTTAATTACTAGAAATTAATTAAAGTTTTAATAACTGCCTTTATAATTAATATATCTGTAAGAAATAGTGCAATTACTATATAAAAATTGTTAGATAATTACTAGAAATTAAGGTTTTAATAACTACCTTTGTAATTAATATATCTGTAATAGTCAAATATATCGTAAGTTATATTTGTTTAGAAACAATTTTATTGGAAGAAATTGAACAAATAAATATTGCAAATTGCTTTGCATGTTTGAATATGGTTCTGCTGTTTGTGAAAATTATGAGTTTTGATATTGCGTGATTTTGGCTTGAAAATACAAAACACCATTTTGTGAAATCCACATTGTAGGTATTTTTATTCAGTAATATCAAGTGCATTTTTAGCTTTTTTTATTAGCCATATTTTTTTATACTTGGCCAAAGCTATTCAAGGGCTAACTACAAGATATCCCTAGTTTTGAACTGATTAAAGGCAAGGCAGATAGTCAACAGTCTCAACTGGCAACTCTTGTCTGACTGAATAGTGGGATTTGACCATCACTTTATATTCCATCCATAACCCCAATATATGGTGTATAAATGATTGGTCAGTAGGTCCATTGTCCAGCATACTAACCACTGGACTACATTCAGCCTTCTTCAATTCAGTATTTTCAAATGTATTTTTATTTAGTATTTTGAAGTATATTTTTTATTCAGTGCTCTGAAACTGCATATTCATGAGCCTTTAAATGAAAATATTGACAGTGAATTTTATTGATTTTTTAATCTTGGAATAATTACAGAATATAATCCTCTCCTCTAATAACATATTTCGGAAACTGGAATAACATTATTAAATACATATACACAGGAGTACTTTGATATAAACCAAACTTCATTGGTACACTTTAAACCAATTACAGCTGAGAGTTGTATAAAAAATAGTAATTTTATGAGCATTACAGCAAACTTCAAGAAACACAAAAATCTTTAAAACTATACAAGTACTGACTTTAAATTAGAACAAATTATGGGACTACCTGATTTCTCGACATATGTGAGGTTCCAACAAACGAGAATATGCATCCTGAATACTCGTCTCAATCAAGTCTGCCGTTTCTTTATCTCTACTAAGTACCCCCCACTTTCTACGACACAGCTCAAACGTTGCTAATTTAATGCGAATAGGAATAACAATTTTGGTTGTCAGAACTTTCTGGTTCTCTCCACGGTTTATAGCAAGCATCTATAAAAAATGTTTGAACTAATATCAACGAAAATCATTATATTAGTAGGTATGAAAATTTACATTTATATATCAGATTATCATGAAACAAGTACCTACAAAAATTCAAGATATCTGTTAGATATTAACAAAAGAAAAAGCACAGACTGTATACGAAGTCATTTTGACATTACTTACTGTATAATTTATGTATAAACTTTCTTGTTACTGCTTTATCCATTTCAAACACTTAGCAACAAGATAAACTGAATTCTGATAAAATACCTGAATACTGATACTGTAACTGAATAATGGTGGTGTGCCTGAATACTGATATTGTAACTGAATAATGGTAGTGTATACCTGAATACTGATACTGTAACTGAATAATGGAAGTGTACCTGAATACTGACACTGTAACTGAATAATGGTAGTGTATACCTGAATACTGATACTGTAACTGAATAATGGTAGTGTGCCTGAATACTGACACTGTAACTGAATAATTGTAGTGTATACCTGAATACTGATACTGTAACTGAATAATGGTGGTGTGTACCTGAATACTGATACTGTAACTGAATAATGGTGGTGTGTACCTGAATACTGATACTGTAACTGAATAATGGCAGTGTATACCTGAATACTGATACTGTAACTGAATAATGGTGGTGTGTACCTGAATACTGATACTGTAACTGAATAATGGCAGTGTATACCTGAATACTGATACTGTAACTGAATAATGGCGGTGTGTACCTGAATACTGATACTGTAACTGCATAATGATAGTGTATACTTGAATACTGATACTGTAACTGAATAATGGTAGTGTATACCTGAATACTGATACTGTAACTGAATAATGGTAGTGTATACCTGAATACTGATACTCAATGATACTCCTTAGATAAAACAACCGATGCTGATAACCTTTTAAACAATACTTTGTTTAGTTCGCTAGCATTACAAAAACTGTAACAAATTAATATCTGTTGCATTTACTTTCCAAAGTAACAAATCTTTAATAATTTTACATCAAATTCTGCAATTTCTGTTCGAGACAATTGAGGACAGTTTAACCCAGTACCCATACGGATATGTAGAACTTGAAACAGTTTAAAACATTATACACAACAGAAATTTTATTGAAAACATCATTAACTTTTATTGAACCCAAATGTATTAATTTGTAATGTACAAATTTGCAACAAAATGTATCACATAGTGCATGCCAACAATATATACAGTATTTGTAACCAGTAGGATCTGCAACTGAAAGAGAGAGGGAAGACACCGTATTCACAGGTTCACCAGGTGGATCACATAATATGTATAGTACGTTTGCAAACTGTTTTCTTAGTCCTAGCTTGCTGCCGAGCTCAAAATAACAGATACAATTTGATACAAACATTTATTAGGGTATTTGAAAATTTTTGCTTTAATCGCATTTGTCTTGGAGTGAGTCAACATGCTCCGCTATCATATGTCATGTAATCATATATCTGACATTTAACATAGTGAGAAGTGTAGCGTTCAGAGTGAGTATATCACATCCATACATTTTATTTACTCCTCAGCAATGCCTCATTAATTAACTTAGATGCAGATGCACAAAATGTTTAAGACAGAACGTTTACCAGTACCTGCAAATATTAAATACTTTGAAACATAGACCGTTTTTAGATTCTAGATCTGGATATACATACATTCTGTTCCAACAGTATCTTAGCTGACTGGACAAAAGGGGAAACTCTAGTAACTGAATACTAGCTTTTCAACCAATTTTAATCCTGATGACTTGCAAATATATTGTAAAAATATTCATTTAAAAAAATGTTTTAAACGAGGTATGAAAAAAAAAATCTACAGTGTTAAATTTAAAACTTGGAAAAGCAATGGAACAAATAATCTTCATGTTTATGATAAAAATCCTAAATTTTAGATATTTTCTGTTGTCACTGTTTGAAACTCAGTTGACAAGTTCTAGTATTGAAATACTACCTTCCGAGCAGGTTGAATGTGAGGGTAAATACAATACTGGAGAGGGCTGTTACTAAAACAAGACAATTAAAACATAGTGTTTTACAGAAACAATACCAAATATATAGTGAAAATAAAAATGGAGAACTAGAATTTTCGTTTCTTATTTTGTTTTCAGTATGATGTATTCTTTTTGGATTTATATCTTACTTTGCATATTACTTATTAATATGCCTGTAATTGGTTATATATTTTAGTTCGAACTTCAACCTGTAAATATTCTTTAACTGTTCAAAGACCAGCAAACACTAAAATTTAACACTTTTACAGAAAAGTACAACAGTTACATAAAAAGACAGAATATATACTAACTTATTTAACAAGTAAAAGGCATAAGAAAAGTACAAGCACATGTGATGATTCATAAATTAATGATGATTATTTCAAAGCTGCTCTAGAATGAAGGGGTGAAGCCAAAATAAAATGAAAAACTGCTTGATTATGACTTAACCTGGTAAGATTTGATATCCTGGACAGAAACCTTGAAATTAAAGTAATTCTCAAACTTGTAATTTGAAGTGTCACGGCCTTCTACAAAGGCTTGTTTATCCAATTTCTCTGCAGTTGATGACTTTGTACTTGTTACCGTAACATCCATGGACTTGCATCTGTAAACAATCATAGGTTATTAAAACCTTTTCTTTTGTTTTTTACAAACATTTAAGCTATTGTTTTTTTAACTTGATAGTCCAGGAAGAAAACAACATTTTATTACAACTACATGAAATATTTTAACTTGCGAGTAAGGGAGAAAAAAAAACATTTTATCAAACTACAAGAAATGTTAAAAAGTTAACAGATCTGGTTCATAAGCACTGTTTTAAAACAAATATAATTTGTTTTTACATTAACTAAATATCTGCCTTGTTATTTTTAATTTATCCTTTAAGATTCTTTGTCACTATTATAGCCGTATTCACAGTATCTGACAAAGGTCAAAACAGCATTCTTAAATTCTTATTAAAAGGCTTAGTGACCAAACATCAGCCTTTGACAGAAGTAGCCTACATAAACTTAATTACTAATAATGTTTCTCATAGTCACTAATTTCTAGTTAGTTATTATGTATTGGCTGATAATCTGATGTCATCTTCAGAAGAGTCCTGATACGGACTACACAAAATGGCAGAAGTAAAGATTTCAGCCTGGATCTTTCTGTTGAAAACATATTACACACTCTTTCAGACTTCTCATCCTGCTAGGAGTGGATTGTACAAGGCATACGAATGTTTTCGCTAGTGGTGCGTGTTTCATTGAATTCTGTGCAAGGTTGGCTATTTGTCTTATCAGATAGTTGGATATCAAAGGTTTTATCCTTCTTATTTTTTGTTTGTGGTTTGTATCATTCTTGTATGATCTTTTTTTATCATGACAAGCTGTTGCTGACAAATCCGTACTATAAAAACCTTTTAAATAGACCGTAGAACCCAGAAGACCAATAAAAATTCTTTGTTTTTCATATAATTCACTGTAATATTACTCGTAAGGCACTTCTGTGTGAATAGTTTGAGTTTTGATATACCAAAACACCATCTCTTCATCTGGAAAGAACTGGAATTTTTCAACATGAAAAACATCTTAAATGCACTTGAGATAAACATCCAGATCACAAATCTTCAAAGTTCAGATATAGTAATCCCTAATTTTGAGCTACTGACCACTAAGTAGACAGAAACCCAGCAGTGTATCTACCCACCCAAGCTCTGTCCAGTTCTTTGAACCAATTGAAAAGGACTGACTGTCACTTTTTTTAATGCACCTAAAAGAGTGCAGTGTGTACAGCAGCATCATGTATTGAACCCTAGATCCTTTGATCTGCAAATTGACATGCTAACCATGAGGTCATACCTGGCCAGTATAACTGAAAATAAAAATATATTATTTAAATTATGATTTCAACTTTAAGTAGTCATTCAGGTTATTATTCTCTTCCATACATCTATTAAAGAATTTACCCAAGTGTTTCATATTTATACTTACTGTTTCCTTACAAAGTCCAGGATATCTCTATTCTTGGCAATGGCATCAGCCATTATATGCTGCCAGCCTGTCAACACCTCTTGTTCAGTAGACAAGCCTAGTTAAAACAAATTTAAAACATCTTTTAACAGTAATATAAATTTCAAAGATACAAGATTTAGGTATTGTTTTCAGATGCATTTGTGCCCTATCACATGTATTTTGAGGTATTATCGTTACAGAAATGTTACAGGTAAATCCTAAGGTACTACTTGTTACAGAGATACACAAGGTAAATCCTAAGGTACTACTTGTTACAGACATATACAAGGTATATCCTAAGGTAATACTTGCTACAGAGATATACAAGGTAAATCCTAAGGTACTACTTGTTACAGAGATATACATGGTAAATCCTAAGGTAATACATGTTACAGAGATGTACAAGGTAAATCCTAAGGTACTACTTGTTACAGACATATACAAGGTAAATCCTAAGGTACTACTTGTTACAGAGATATACAAGGTAAATCCTAAGGTACTACTTGTTACAGACATATACAAGGTATATCCTAAGGTAATACTTGCTACAGAGATATACAAGGTAAATCCTAAGGTAATACATGTTACAGAGCAAGTAGTACCTTAGGATTTACCTTGTATATCCTTGTATATGTCTGTAACCTTGTATATGTCTGTAACAAGTAGTACCTTAGGATTTACCTTGTATATGTCTGTAACAAGTAGTACCTTAGGATTTACCTTGTATATGTCTGTAACAAGTAGTACCTTAGGATTTACCTTGTATATGTCTGTAACAAGTAGTACCTTAGGATTTACCTTGTATATGTCTGTAACAAGTAGTACCTTAGGATTTACCTTGTATATGTCTGTAACAAGTAGTACCTTAGGATTAATAAATCCTAAGGTACTACTTGTTACAGACATATACAAGGTAAATCCTAAGGTACTACTTGTTACAGACATATACAAGGTAAATCCTAAGGTACTACTTGTTACAGAGATATACAAGGTAAATCCTAAATGACAGTTCACCTTGATCGAGTAAAAATCAGCTCATGAAAAAACAGACTGGTAAAGCTTAGTATAAAACTTAGTTTATCTGGTGCTATCATATAAAACTAAGTTTATCTGGTGCTATCATATAAAACTAAGTTTATCTGGTGCTATCATATAAAACTAAGTTTATCTGGTGCTATCGTATAAAACTAAGTTTATCTGGTGCTATCATATAAAACTAAGTTTATCTGGTGCTATTGTATAAAACCAAGTTTATTTGGTGCTATCATATAAAACCAAGTTTATCTGGTGCTATCATATAAAACCAAGTTTATCTGGTGCTATCATATAAAACCCTGATAGCACCAGATAAACTTTATATAAACTAAGTTTATCTGGTGCTATCATATAAATCTATGTTTATCTGGTGCTATCATATAAAACTAAGTTTATCTGGTGCTATCATATAAATCTATGTTTATCTGGTGCTATAATATAAACCACAAGTTTAACTGAGGTTAACTATAATTAACATTAACAGTGTTCATACCTTTCACATCATTTTTAACAAAACTTCCTGGCAATATATTCTTAACAGATCCAAAGTTTTCCAATATATGAAGTGCTGATTCCTCAAGCCCTAGAACTCGTGCTCGACCAGCTAATGTTTTCTGACCTCCACTTTTGTAAGGAGCATACTGAGTTACAAATGTTAAACAAATTATTTTCTGAACTATACGTCATTTTTTTTATCATAAGGCAACTAAAGAGAAGAAAACAATATTGCAACCCCACTAGAGAACTGTAAGAAAAAGTTGTTTCAAATAATGTTCCCTGTAAGGTGTGTATATGCCTGTCAGCACAGCAGCCTGGTAGGTACTGCACATCGAAAACAACAGAACACTTAAAATTAGTCAGTTGGTAATAGCTTGGTGTAGAAGACATAGGTTTACAATTTGAACGATACAATGTTTAAACTCAAAGCACGAGTACAGGTGCAAACAGCAACTTAAAGAAACTAATGTTCAGTTTTTACAGAAGAATGGATTTAGGTTATTCTGGAAACCAAAACTGTCTCTGGACAGAAAAACATGTTCGGAGGAGTCTGTAGTCCACTCAGCCCAAAGAAAAATTAGAGGAAACATTGGTCTCAAAAACTGCTGACAAGTTAAAACTGTACGAGTTTATTACACTCTTCTGAGTTTAATATTTATATTTAAAAATGTAAAATAAGGCTCAAGTAAAATAAATAACTCATAATAATCAAATAACAATTCCACTCATTGTTATTACCAAACAAAAATAAACTATTTGGCAAGAAAAAAAAATCTTAAAAACCAAAATTTTAACATCAATAAATCATCAAAAAATTATTAGAATATCATCACTATTTGATCATCATGTAAATTAAAAATCAATAAAATATGTTTAGAGAAGTAATCTGCCATCCTGCATCTAAGTATGCAATGCCTCTACCTGCGTGTTTTAACATAAGTACCAAATAAAAACGTATATATATATATATAATTAAACCTTGCAAACTGATCTTACCAAAGCTTGGATCCTAAAAACAACACTCAACCAGCTAAGCTGTCACTACCATGGTTTGTATTTCAAAAAACAACTTTCCATCCCAATTATTACAATATACTGCATCCTCCTAGCTGCCCAAAGAGTGGAATTACACAAAGCTGTTTCAATGTTCAACTCATTACTAAATTGATGTATGTTATTTACATAACAACTTTCAGAAAACGAAGCTGTTTACTGAACTCCATTTTAACAACTTTCAGAAAACGAAGCTGTTTACTGAACTCCATTTTAACAACTTCCAGCAAACGAAGCTGTTTACTGAACTCCATTTTAACAACTTCCAGCAAACGAAGCTGTTTACTGAACTCCATTGTTTTTTTCATCACCAATCACTATGTGCAATTCTCTGTCTTCTTCAATCAAATTGGATCTAAGAACACATTTTTCTCACTTATTATTCTCTAGCTTTGTTGAACAACAGAAGCAAGAGCCATTTAATGCTAATATAATACAATGTATCTTTCTAAGAAAAACTGCAACTTGGGGTTAAATTTAAGGATTAATCAATCATTTTTAATGTTTAAGTTGAAATTAATCATGTCAAATCAGATTTGGCATTGTAGGGCTATGTTAAAAGACTGCAATGTTTTATGCAACTTCGGCAGAAATTTAAGGGTTACTCAATCATTTTTAAGGCTTAAGTTTGAAATTAATTATATATCATACCAAATGTTCTATCTCTGCCAAGGTCTTGGCATTGCATAAAGATCTCTTCAGAGCTGGTTCAAGCTTTTGTTCTTTGGCTAATGTTTTCATCACATTTTCACTTTTCTTCATCACACTCCTGGTAAAAACAAGTTAAAATACAATGTTCAGGAATATATAAATTACTTACAAGATATACATTTATATATAGATACGAAGTAAAAACAGTCTTGAAAGTGAAATTCAAAACTAAAACTGCCACTTACTGCAAATTTCAAAGTTATAATATTTAGCAAAAAACAAATCTAAATCCAACTAAAATAAAATTAAATCAGTCCAATATCACGCCACTAACGCATACACAAGACAAAAAATTATACAATCTGTCAGTAAAAATATAAAAAAAGATATAATTTTTATAGGAAAATATCTCCTGCAATAGCTCAAAAAAGTATTGGGGATATCCTGTCTATTGGACATAAAAAACAAAACAAGAATGCAGATAAAAACTAGACAATTAGCAAGGAAAATCAAACAGGGGCTAAATATTGGGTGCCATAACTCACAATGTTTCAAAAGCTACTAAAAAATCAAACAAATTCTAAATATCATAATGATAAGGCCACATTAAAAAATTTCAGTGTTTTATGCTCTAGAAAAAAAAATGGAGCAAATTCAAACTACCAAAATTTATTTATAGTAGATTAAGTCCGTACGTTTATTTCTAATTCTACTCTTGTTCACTATATGGTGTCATATTTCATTCTCACAGGCAATGCTCTCTCTAATATTTTCAATCCACATACAAAATGAATTTTTTCATGTGCACCAGAGACAATGTGCAGATGTGCTACCAGGTTTTTTTTTGGGGGGGGGGGGGGAGTAGGGGGTATTTTTAGACCATCAACCCTATTGAAATCATTAGGCCACTTGGCAATGCTACGAGTTGGTTATTTGGGTTTTAGGCCTATCAACTGTTGCCAGGGTCATTAACATGCTGAGACTCATCACCATTCCCAAGGATGTGCATAGCCGGAATAATTAAGTGCATGTCATTTGATTGGTTGTTGTGCAGCCCAAAGGGAACACTACTCACAGTTAGCCCAAACAATATTCTATGAAATGATAAGATCATACGATAATATAAAAGTAATAAACTGAAACTGCTTTCAATGCTTGTATCATAAACGAGTTTCATTTTTTTTCTTTTCTCTAGTCAAAGCATGGTTACCATTCTTATACAAGCAATATCTTTATTAAATAGTTTTTCCACGATACATTATACAGTATTTGTGTATCAGTATGAGAAATATAATATACAACATTGTCACATAACTTTTAACTATTTTTGCTTATTAAAATAATATAAATGAGCCTTGTATTAATATTAGAATACATGCAATAAATCTCTCAAAGTGACGGTGGCCTCTGGCACTCGGTTAAGAAAACACTTGTCATAACATACTGACAACAAGGAGCCATTTGGTCCTTCAAGGCTGTTCTAGTACATCCATCCAAAAGAACACTGAAAAATTTAAACCCAAACTTTATTTTCCACAAAATCATTGGTTCTCCTCTCAAACTCCTGTAAGCAATGGCATCCAAAATTGGCAATGAAAACTTGTAATTCAATAACCCTGCTTGAAAACTAGAACTCTTCATCCACTAACTTTGAATTAGCTAAGTGTATCTTCACAAAATTTGGTAAGCTTTTAGTAAACATTACAAGTCTGTTGTACATAAAAAACAAATTCAGGTCTCACTTGGAATACTGTGTACAGTCTGATTCTCCTTATCCAAGAAAGAATATCAACTTTTTTAGAAAAGTATCAGAGGAGGGCTACTATGATGTGTCCTGAGATGGAAGGGTTATCTAGCAAGGATGAGTTAAGATCTCTTAAATTATTTTCCTTTGAGAAAAGAAGGATAAGATAATCTTGAAGATTACAAGATTATCTACGGCATCAATAGGATAAAGGCTTCTGATTTATTTGTGCTGTATTCTGAAGACAACAGAACAAGTGCAAAAGTTTGAGATTTGGCAACAAAAAAAAAATACAGGTTAGACTCCACTTAAGAGTTTTATTTTTCTAACAGAGTGATTAGCTTATGTAATTAGTTACTGTGAGAGCCTACACTTTTCAAGAGTTTAAGATGGGAATCAATAATTTCCTGAAAAACAGAGCATGGATTTAATTTTTACTTTTTTTCTTAGGAGTAGGTGTGCAGGGACAGCCCTAATGGATCAAATACTATCTACTTGTCATTAGATTTGCTACTGAAATGACACTAAATTAACAAAAATTAAAGGTTGTAAAAAAAAAACAAAATATTCCTGTCATTTGGTGGAATTTATCAAACATAGTTTTTACAGACACATACACACATCTCTAGTGCATTTTAATGTAGATACTCATATAGTATTTCTTCCTTTATATCTTACTTGACTTCTTCATAAGCCTGTTGGACTTCTCTTAACTTCTCTGCTTCCATCCCTCCAGTTATTTGTTTTCTGTATCGAGCAATAAATGGAATTGTACATTCTTGATCAAACAAATCAAGGACTCTTTGGGCAACATTTGTTGGAATGTTAGTTGCTTCTGCAACAGCATCTTTTGCTTCCCATTGTCGTTCCAAAATTTTTATGTCCATTTCTGACTCACTGTTATCCTTAAAAACAGAAAATTAATTTTTAGAAAAATAAACACAAAAATCAAATGTAAAATCATAATATTTATACATAATAAAAATATCTACCTTCTTTTTTTCTGGTTAACAATTTTGATAATTTACAAACAAACTAATAATATTCTAATGAAACAAAATAATATCTATTTTAAACACTACCTATAAAACATTTCAGAAATTACAGTCCACATATAAAGTACAAAATGGCATAAATCCTTCCACACACCATCTGTTTTAAAGAATTACAAGCTGGTTCATTTTCTTTCTTCACTCTTCTCCCTTTCACCTTTTTTGCAGGCTGACTGCTTTTCTTCCCTTTCTCAAAAGGCTGTTTTAAAGTTTTGGCTGGTTTCTGCTTAGTATTCTCCATATTAATACAGTGCAGCTTACTAAAATGGAATAACAAATTCTTTTCAGAAATACATTTATCAGAACACAACAAATTGAAGAAAAAATTTTAAATGCACCGAGTTACTTTTGGAAAAATTTGCAAAGTGCCATCATAAACATACATGCAAAACACAAGAAATTTTTGTAAAATGAACAACTACATTATACATACACATGTGACATTATTATTATATAATGTAGATAAGAAAGAACTGTTAGTCTTTGCACGTTAAACCTTAATACAAATTGAAGCTCATCCTTCATTTTTCATGAAATTATTGCTCTCTCCCTCTTAAACTTTTGTAAAGTGTGGGGTACAATAGCTCCCCTGGTGAAAACAGTCTGCATCACTCCTGATCAGGATGTGTAGATTCAAGCAAGACTTTTTTCATCATACTTATACATTATTTTAACATATTAATGTTAAAGAACACAATCTTCTATTAGGCAAGTCCCTGCTGTGCTTATGATGTAGGCCTAAACATAATTAATTTGGGAATCGTTTATGATAAAACCTAACACTGATACTGAACATGTGCATTAATGCTGAAACAAAACAAGGAATCGGCCTTTATAAAAATGTAGAATGTTATAGATGCAACTACAACTAATCCGGTTCAATCCTAATCTTTCAATTTAAATCAACGTTTAATCTTTATAAGTCAACGAAAGAAACAAAAGTACAATAGCCTTACTTTATTACTACACTGCAAAAACTCATATAATAAACCTGACCGCAAGCTTTCATCTCCAAACAGAACTTCCTGTCCATAGTTCAGTCTACATTCTGAGAACACAGTAATAAATGATTGGCAAGAAATACACCATCAAGCTTTGCCAACGACCGTTAGTAACCTAATCTTGTAGCATGTTGGGAAAACTAGCTGATCAATTAAAGTATTCTATTAATATGTATCATTATCACTAATTATTTCATCAACAAGAAAATAATGTATTTCACATTATTAAAATAGTTTAAATAAAGAACATTTTAATTACATGTTTTTTAAGAGATGCCAGTTTTAAATAAACATTAGTTAGGGAGATATTGTTTATAGTTTTTGTTGCCAGCATGTTTCACTGTAGCTTGTACATTCACCATTATTATCTCTGTTAACAAATCACATTGCTATAAGTCTGATGCCCATTTCAGCCTTTCGGTTTCACTACATTTCCTAAGTAATGGTTTTCGAACAGCTACACATCCACTGGGACTGGTTTGTACCAATGTGTATCTTACTGTAATATTCACACCTGCACTTACAACTTGGTCAATGGAAAGATCTCTATTTAATCGTTGTGTTTCACAGAGAGTGTATCAAATTGCTCCTATTAATAGGTCTGATTTCTATACTTTTTCTGTCCTAGAAGCCATGAGTTCATTCACTACACTACTGCTGTGAAGAGTATATTCTGTCTATAGTTTTATAGTAGGGAAAAACTTTAAATAGTGTTCTGACCTCTGCTGTGTTTGTTGTATTCCATCTGGCCTGAAGTGTTCTGGATTGAGTGAAATGTGTTGTGGGCAACCGATACGACAAATATATTGTGGTTGGAATACTATTATATATACAGTCTTCTAATTGTTGAAAATCCCTAAGAGGATTAAAAAAGTAGTGTTTACGAATGTAATAGGTCTAATACTAATATCTTATGACAACTACAGTTATTATCTGGACAAATGATAGCATAAACCTGCAATTTCTTTGTGTTGTATTCCAATACTAATATGACATGAGAAGGTTAACATTTGGAAAAGACAAGCTAAGCTCCAGTTAAAACTGTTTTATTTTTCTAACAGGGTAACTGGCTTATGGAATATATTTCCATCAGACATAGTGAAGGCCAGAACATTGCTTATGTAAGAGTTTCAAAGAGAACTGATAATTTCCTGAAATATAAAGGGTGGGTTTAATGTTTTATTTTTCCCAGGGAAGGGTGTGCAAGGAAAGCTTTGAAGGACCAAATGATCCTTTGTTCTCCATTGATTATATTATGTATATATATAAAGGAATCTGGTCTCTGTGATGTGATCTTATAATATATCACTTTATAAGATTTATGTTATACAGGCAAGATTCCAACTGTAACTTGTAATACTAAAGTACCATTTAAAGAAACACTTTTAAACCTGAATCAGGGGTTTTAGCCGTATCTTAACAATGTTGAAAAATGTAAACAATTACAAAAATAAGCTGACAATAAAATATTCAAAAGTATAAAAAAAATCACGAAAACAAATCCCATAAGCAAATTATAAGTATAACCGCTGTTCATCCAATAATAAGTTGAATAACTAAGAAACAGTAAGATATCCTTATCGTTGCGCCATCGACAGCATTTTTTATAACTACTAAAGTACTATATTATAAAACTATTTTTAGGCTGAAAGCAGTATTGGACGGTTATGTTTATTATTAAACTGCAAAGTTAGTATTACGTTTATAGAGTAATTAGTAGTAACAATCAACAACTAGTAGTACTAGCAGCAGCTGTTGGAATCATTAGGCCTAACTCGAGCTGAATACAAAATCCAGTAAACTCTGAAAAATAAATTACTTCATCACCTTTTCTTTCGAAGTACTATAGTGAATAATTTCAATACCCCGGGGGTTCTCCCCCCTACGGATTAAACCTGTAAACTTTGTAAACATATCCTAAATTACCGCCATAAAACTTACAGTGTGATCGTAAAATAGATGTCGCTGTACGAACAGAAATAATTAAACACATGAAAATAAAATATTTCTAAAATATACGCAGTGGTATCGGGTCCAATAATTCCAAATTCAAATAGTTTCAAAATATCTGTTTGTATTGGAAATCAATACGTACTGTTATAGGCTATATATGTTTTTAATGTTGTAATCTGTTTGTTCGATGATAGTTAAGTTCAGGAAGTTAAGATAGGCCTAGAACGTCTAGAAAACTATACCTTTTAAGGATGTGATGTAAACAGTAAAGTCTTGATTTAAGGATGTGACTTAAGGTCAAACTGTTAAAAGTTCTAGTATATTCGAGCATAGATTATATATAACAACGTTCCATAAACTATTAGTGAGAGAATTGAGTTGAATTCAGATAGAAAATGAGTTTTTTCAAGAGTGAATATGTTAGTGATAGTTATATCGTTTCTTTGTACAAGTAACTTAATTTTACTTTCTGTAATAGATATAGCTGGAGTGGCTAAATACTTAGACCTACAACAGTACAAGTTACAACAGTGTTCAAGCTTGTCATAACATTAAAAGAAGAAATTAAATAAATTGTTTTTGTTTAAGTGAATTAGATGTTGAATTATTTCCATCAGATAATTCAAAGTTCAAAAGAACCTGCAAAGAAAGAACTACGGTACAACAGTATTTTCTAAACAAAGTAACAACGGAAATTTAATAATATTGTCACGACAGCGGAAGTCATGTGATCTAGTAACACGTCATGAGATTTTCGGGGGGTCGAGATTTTTCCTGGCAACTCTAGTCTTTTCCGGGTGCCCTCTTTTTTAGTGTATAAGCCCGGCAAATAAAGCGGAGATAGAATTGCAGATAGATAGATATAGAGAGATTGAAGATAGAGATAATTCAGTCAAGCGAGCGGTAGTGACCGTAAGGAAAGTGCGTGAATCGTTGTGAATCATAGCATGTGTTTAAGTTAAATTGACTGTGGAAATTAAGTGTATTACAAAGTTTGTAACGAGAAAGAATAAACTAGTTTTATTTAAGAAAGGACTTGTATCGCTGAAGTTCCTCGGGAACAATTTATACCGGAAATTAACAGAGACCAGAGACGTAACAATATGAAAAGTAAAATGTACCCCATTTATGCTTATTAATAACTCACCATTGATAACAGAGTACTCTGTTGTTTTTTTTTACTCACCCACCCACTCTCACATAACACAGGAGAATATCACAGATTCAAACCGTAATGCTGGTTCTTCTATTCAGTCGCTTATCCATGAGTGGTTCAGTCTGGCTGTTGCTAAACGCAAAGCTATACAATGGACTATTTGTGTTGTGCCACACACGGGTATTGAAACCTAATTTTTAGCGTCGTAAGTCTGCTGACTTTTCACACGGGGGGGATGTTTACTTGTGAGAAAATACACGTTTCACTCAAAATAAAAACGAGTTAATAATCACAATAAAAAGAAACTGATAAATACATCGCACGTAAACCTAGATGTGCCTGACGGACAACGGATTAGTGTGTCTAATGTTCGCGTTTCGTTATCACAAAAAAAACACGTTCTTCGCTCTTTCGGTTGGTATGTTTATTATAAGAATGACAGACACATTCTACTATTCGGACATACAAGAGAAACCCGAGAGATGGCTGTGGGTAATTATCGACTAGCTGTCTTTCGTCTAGCCGTATCGAGTTAGGGACGAATACCGCAGATATCCCCGGAGTAGCTTTGCACGAATATCACAAATAAAGACAGTTCGATCGGCTTCTGTTTTCAAGTAAAGTGTTTGTAAATAAAACGTTTCACTGGACACTCTTCTATATATTACTCGCTTCTCTTGGATACATTTACACATTCAACTGAGGAGTTAGTTAATGTCCCTTTACACAGCTATTAAACTATCGACCTAGTAACAAAGTCTTTCTTTAAAAATGGAGGTGCCGGGGATCGAACCCGGGGCCTTTCACATGCAAAGCGAACGCTCTACCACTGAGCTACACCCCCTCATATGTGATTTAGTTGCTAGCATATTTTTTCAACAAAACACATGAAAGACAAATCATTAGTACCAATAAAAGCTCACGTCCCGAATTCTTTCGTTTGGAGGTGATTTATACAATATTAGTGATAACCATTATTATAATTACAAATAATAATAATTAATTATAATAACGCTTCGTCAGTTTGAAAAAAGACGTTCATATTTAACTTTTGTGTACAACATATTACTTACTTTTTAAGATATTATCTGACGTTTTTCTAAGGACTATCTGGGATAAGTAATGTAACCATAAAAAGAAAACGTCTACCGAGATGTATTGCAAGAACACTCTCATAAATGTCGCTGAAAATCAATTAATTTAGCGACTTTTTATTAAATGTTACGGTGGGAATGTCTTTTCCAAGATAGGGTGTGTTATTTACACTTAAACATTAGTCAAATTACGAAACTCCATATTCTATTCTTATATTTAATAAAGTGTAATAAAATATATTTCAACACACTTCCCTTCTAATTAATTTACTTGTCATCAGACATTAATATTAGACCTGTTATATTTTGTAACGCTGCATTTTATATCTAGTCCCTTAGGGATTTTGAAGAATTAGAATAGTGTATCATAACAGTATTTCAAACGCACTGTTCGCAGTGTCCATTGAATACGACGCATTTTGCTCAATCCAGAGCTCATCAGGCCGGATGACACACAAGTACAGTAGTGGTCGGAATACTATTCATATAAGCCTTTTGTTAGAACAAGAATTCGAAACCAAAAAAACACAATTAAACTCCACTTCTAAATAAATCTTTAAATAACACACAAAACCACAAAACGCAATTAAACGCCACTGTTAAATAGATCTTTAAACAACACACGAACTCATAAGACACAATTAACCTAAAACTACACTGCTATAGCAGTTGGAGGTTTTGTAACGGAGATGGGAAATTTGGTTGCGGGCTTCTCTAATTTGGTAACCTCGAACCCAGGAGAATCCTTTCACTTCTCATCGCTACATTCTTATTACCACACAAATAGCTAAGTGCTTGAAGTATTGTAGAAATGGCGTCATTCTGCCTATAAGAACGATTGGGTGGACATATGCTACAGTTGTTGTTGTTTTGTTTTACAGAAAGCATCATATTTTAAGTTGTTGTACTAAAGTTGAATCCCAATTAGACCAATACATCGGGGTTGATGACCTGTTGGACACTATCTAAGAGGATGGTCTTCCTCCTACACTTGTTACTAAGACCAAGACAAGAATTCTTAGCCTAAGAAGTTTAAGTTTGCTTCTGGACTTTATCATCAATATCATACAAAGAAAGCTTAGGAAATCCAGATTGAAATTATTATTTAAAACATTCTATGCAAAACGGTATTTAAACAATAACATCATGCGTCCGCTACTGTATGGGATAATTATAGTGAAATATTACAAAGATCAGTCAGTAAATATTTATATTAGAAACAATACTGTGTCAGGTAAATGTGTGACAAAATATTATGTTACACCATTACACAAGTTATGGTACCTGATATACATATGTATACATAAGAAGATCCAAAGTCCGAAACTAAGTTATTTAGGGTTTACTTCCACGGATGCCTATCTCGACACCATACCGTTCATTCTCTGTAGCTTCTTCCTGGATGTTATATTTTACGTGATTATTCAAATTGATGGAACTTGACTCTGTTACGTATATTGTAAGTTTATTTGCAATACTTTGTAAAAAAAATACTGTCCACTTACTTATCAGTTAACATTGGCCAAATAATTTAAAGTTTTCAAATATTCTAACCCAATATTTTTTGCCTCTGAAACAATAAAAATTTCTATAATACATAACATCTATACATAGTGCAATTTTAAGAAAAAAGACAATAAAAACTCACATCCATAATAAATTCTATTTATCGTTTCCAAAAAATTCAGGCTAGGTTTGTGATGTACATTTGGAGACAAAACACCTCTACTGGTTAAAGTATTTGGGATACTAGATTACGCTAAATGCATTCCATAAAACTAATATATACAAGGTTATTAAAATACAACCTTTTGCTGAAAGAAAGTTTTATTTATCACCAGGTGTCCTTACGGTGCTCATTCCAATTAAGTATATATATATATATAACTTTTTCTTTTTAAGAGTGTTA